ACTTACTTCAATTAAAAAATTTCATATGAAAATGTCAAGAAAATAAGCTGTACAAAAATTAATTTTTAAAAATTATATATCTTGGGAAATAAATATCATGGAGCAATGTTTTATACAAAAATGTCTTGCATTTAACCTGCAGTACCTGATTATTAACCTGCCTGTTGGAATAGGCAAGTCCTTATGGTGATGTAATAGGTGTCTCATATTTTAGCTTTTGAAGGTAAAATATGAGACAGGAAAAAATTTTTTGCTCAATATTTTTCATACATACATAAAAAAATGAATACTCTATTAGATTTTAATACTAAAATCATAAATTCTGTATATAGAGTCAATGTAGACACTTTTCAAAACTTTTGTGTAAACCTTGTGTAAATCTTAATTTTACAAAGAGAAATACAATCATGACAAGGTGTAAACCTTGTCATGTATTTCTCTTTGTAAAATTAATATTAGTTTACATAATCTTAGTTTTTAATATGAAACTTATATGTTGCCATGATACAAATGAAAAAGTGTTTATTCATCTTTTCTTGTACAGTATAAATTGAAATTCTAGAAAAATTTTTTCTAGAATTTTCTTCTAGAAAAATGTTACAAAGGAAATGGAATAGTAGTAGAATTTGTTGTTATAATTCTTGCAAAGGGAAATCAAAAATAAATGTAACTTGGCCAAAACACAATGCAGTGAAAGGTAGCAAATATGCTACTAATGTTTTACACCACATATAAGTTTGCATAGACTATCAGTTTAGAAACATGAGTATTCAAGATTAAGAAAGAATATTTATTTATCCAATTTTTACAGGTATCTTATCAGCATTTGATAACTGCCTACTACTGCCATTTGATAACAAACTCTGAAATATTAAAATGAATGTGTAACACACATAACATAATATAAAAAAATAATAAAAATAGAGTGTATTATAAAAATAAAGCAAAGATAGTATAAAAATAGGACAAAAACAATACATTATAAATTATGGTATAAATATTTTTACATGGTTGTTTATATTTACAAAATTATAGATTCAGTACATCCTCAAGTCCCTCCATTCAAATTACAGTGCAATAAAATAAAAGGTTCTCTGTGAGAGGTTTAAGTGAAAAGCAGCGATATATAAGCAACTGGAATTGTATGTAGCTCTAGCCATGACATGGAGACAAAGTTTTTCTGATTTGATAAGCCATTAAAAAATTTAAAATATAAAATTCTGTCAAAGTAAGTTCTATAGTATAAGCCAGGGAGACCCAATCTAATGTGAACAATGTTAGCAGAGTTAGTAAACAGAAAATGAGTTAAAGTATTTAGCAGTAAATTTATTTGACTTAATGTCCTTAACTGGTATTTTATTCTAAAATTATCAACATGGATTTATGGGATTAATAGGACTTTTACACTGGTGCAGAGCCGGCCCTACCATAGGGCGAACAGAGCAGCCGCTCCAGGCGCTAAATCCTAGGGGGCGCCTCAGTGGTAAAAAAAGTAAAGAAAAAAAAATATATTTTTTTTTCACTTTTCGATATTTTAATTGCAAACGTGTGGTCAGTATGTGAATGGCCTTATCTGTTGAGACGCGCGTGGGCGGGGTTCCACCCCCGGGCGCCATAATAGAATCTCGCTCCATCCTAAAACTTGCCTCGGGCCGGCACTGCACTGGTGTATTGGCTATTAACAAAAGGAAGAGTTCTTAATCAGAAAATCAAAAAATATTTTTTTACCTGCAGTAGTTTTCCTGACAAGTTTAGAATAAAATATTTAGCAAAGTTGTAGACTATATTGGTATGCAATGATTAATGGTTGATTGGAAGTTGGTAAAGAAAAAAAACATAGAATGGAGAATGGATTTGTTATGATCAGATATGTTCATTGGATGAATTAAATTAATTTTTTTTTCTTTTATGTTCAACTGAATGTTAAACTGTTTATTATGGATATATTTTTATGATGTATTATCTTATTTACCTTGTATTTAACTAATAATTATATAATAATGACAAATATTATATTTCAGTGACCATTTACTCTATGAGTAGAGCTAGGCCATCTAGACACTAAAAATTGTATACAGTAGTTATAAAAATCATAACTTATATGATTTTTAGCCCATGGCAAATTGCCATACAAATTTGATAACATCTTATTTAAGGCATTGTACTTTGGTGATGCAGAAGTGCACCTCAGTATTCCCTATTCATAGCATATGTCACTATCTACATTTGAAATGATTTTCAGGTTTCTAACCATTTCATTGTTTCTGAGCTTTGAATTGGGTAATATTGTATCTTTGGTGTACTTGCTGCTATGTGCTTTGTGATGTAAATATAATTTGCATTTACTTTTTTATTTATTTTTTAAATGCATTTGAAAGAGTAGTTTACGTTTTGCATATCCATTGCATAAATATCTTTGTTTAATAATGTTGTAGGTTTCAATAAATTCTTAGACTTATATTTTGAAAAGTCTGGCTTAAATTTTCATTATACTTCTAGCTTCTTATAGAACTTTGACCCAGCAGTCGGATTGTGCTTTAGAACAACTTGTGAGAGAATTAATAGAAAAAAAGAGAAGAGCCAGATTATCACACTAAAACTGAGAAAAGAATGTGGTAAAAATGTCTGCAAGAAAGTCATGTAATCATTGTATGTGCTATGTGTGACAGTGAGCAACAGATGGAGGTGGAGTAGATTAGTTTTAATCATCTAGATGATTAAAACTAAGCTACTCCGCCTCCATCTGTCATCTAGATGCTTTATTACTACATTTGTTCAATAAAAAGTTCTAAGATTAAGTCCATCTTTTATTCTTATTTTCAAAAAAAAATTAAATATTGGAGGATATGAAGTAATATTACATATGCAGTGTAACAACTCCAATATTCTCTCTCATGAAACTATAAAAGGCAAATCTACCAAAGAATTAATATGAAAATACTTAACAGTAATATTATACTTCTTAAATTTTGGTTTGATTAATTTTATAAGTTTAATTGTTTTTTAAATAATCCTTGAAAAATTATTTCAAAATATTCATACTGTAGAAATTGAATTAATATATCACATAATGAATTTTTTGAAAAGTACAGAAATATACAAAAATATCTTGGTTAGTGCAATTAATGCAATCCAGTAAATTACTTCAATGATTGAATATTATTTAATAGGAAAAATGATGATTTATTTGACCCAGGAAAAGGAACTTTTTCATTTAAAATATAATTAGAACTGACTTAATAATAGGTCATAAAGTCTATTTGAATGAGGATTGAACATCAGGAAACCATTGGACAATTAACATGAAAGTTCCAATTTGAATTTAAAAAGATAGGTGAGGAATTCAAGATAGAAGTAGAATTTGGTGAATTTGGAGCATTGAAAGTTTTGTTTTGACTTGGAAGACAGATGAGATGCAACCAACAGCACTTAGGTTAGAGTTTTACAAAATATTTTGTAAAACTCTAATAGATTTTGTAAAACAGATAGCTAATTTATGTCATAAAATCAACACAAAAAATCTACAAGACAATGAAATAAAAAGATGAATTGTGATTAATGATATGAACAAAATGACATGTTTTGTTTGCATTATTATTCATTATTGAAGTGCATGTAAAAATGTAAGATTTTTTAAACAAAAAAAATGGATGTGAATGAATCTTATAATTTTAGATATAACATAAGTGCAAACTAAAAATTTATGCACATAGACAAAACAATTTGTCTGAACAAAATCACTCAAATGTCAATTAATTACAAACCATTTATCAAAAGCAAAGATCATAAATAGGGATACTAGATTTGTAAATAAAAAGTTTTGTATCTACTGTAAATTTTAAATATATAATACTGAAAAAATTACAATCAATAGATAAATTTACAATTTCTAATATACAATTATTTATAATGGTAATACAGAATTCTGATCATGTCATTATATTGAATAAAAATATTTTACGTTAGATTGAAAGGATTTCAGAATGAAACTTTTTGCAATTGAAGCATTTGATTTTATTTGACTAGAAATTAAACTTTGATACATGCAAATTTATGCACACAAAAATATATATTGTTTTAGATAACACAGTAAAATGTTAGATATCATAGAAGAAAGTTTACATTTAATAAATTATGATTACATTGTGATTCTGATTACTACTAAAACATAAATGATAGCTTACTTTTGTTGTAGTATATCATATGTACAATGCATTCATTACCAAATAAAATTTTTATTGCATTCACACACTAATATTGAATATAGACAATTATACATTATATATATGTAAGTGTACATGCATATATACAGTCAAACCTTGATATGGCATCATTGTAGATAGGACTATTTGCATAAAATGCCAATGAATATTTGTGAATGAATCTTCCCCATAAATATTAGTAAACCTTTATCTGTAAATTAAATGTATAATTTTTGCATTGCAAATAACATATCACTAGATCACACAATTTTTACTCTCTCAAACTTATGTAATACTCAACTACAATTATTATTTCAGGTACTTCAGTTTAGCATCACATTTTTTTAATGCCAATTTCAAACAGAAACAAATGGTAACACTAAATCAAAATTTGACTATATAATTACATATACATACACATATTGATAATTTTGGGAATGTGACAGCTCCACATTTAACTAATCATTTTATCCAAATATTCATATATTTGGATAAAATGATTAGTTACTTCTGATATTCACAATTTTCCAAATCTTGATATTGAAAATTTTGGATCATTTATATAAATTACGTTCTTTGTCTGATTCATTACGTTTCAAGTTCTGTATGTTTGACAGTATTTAAAATTTTTGGGCACTACTAATTTACAAAACAATTTTAAATTAATTTTAAACATCAATTCATTAAAATTACAATTTAGTTAATTTTATATGTGTTTTAAAATAGTAAATTTTCAACATTTACTTATTTATTAATTTTAACTATTAATACAACAAATTAATATTGACATAAATACAACTTTTTAAAATATTAACTTTTGAAGTTTATATTTTTTTATTTCTACAATGAGTATAGTTTTTTTTTTACAGGATTTAAATTTAGTTAAATTTTATCAATTTGTTACATTACAGTTATCATCATCCACTTTTGGTGAAATTTTTTCACCTTCATCTCCATTTGGTTTAATTTCTGCATTATCTGTTATCTTTACTGATTTCATTTCTTCAGTCATTTTTTGTTCTTTTTCATATTCTGCTGCCAATTTTTTACAGAAATTTTTGTGTGTTATCCAATGAAGTTTTTGGCAGGTTTGATTGCAGTAAGAAGCTTTTTTACATGCAGAACAACGTCTTTGAGGCTTTGGCTCACCACAAGTCAAGCAAACAGAATCATTATCGCAACCTTTTTGCCCTCTTACTGCATTTAATAAAATAGATATAGCACTAGGTTCATCACCAATTTTAACTGGTGCCAAAGTACAAACAAGCTGTTGCAAAAGTGCACATTCTCTATAAGGAAATTCCTGAAGACACTGACGTAAAAATTTTTCTAATTGAACAAGAAATCCGTCTTCTTCCCTACCTTTCAACCAGATTTTCATTAATCGCTCTAATATCTGATGACTATCTTTACCTTCCTTAAGTTTCTCTTTATAAAATTTTTCAACGTATCTCACAACAAATGACAAATGATGAAACTTCAATGCCAGCAATTCATTTGTATCCGTTTTCTTCATTTCTTTTTCGCATAAGGATTCCAAAACTCTAGTAGCCTTTCTCTCTTCCAACAGAGAGATATTATCATGCAAATACATAACCAATCGCACCGGATGGATATTGGTCTGAATGACCAATTTATACAACGGATTGACTAGATGCGGAGGTAGCATAGGTTCAGTCTCGAGACCATGAATTTTAGTGTAGTAATCAATTTGCTCTTTAGGAATAAAGTTGCTGATGATGCTGACCACATCATGATTTCCTACAAAAGCTGCCATTTGAGAAGCCGTTCTACCAACTGAATTAACAGTTGTGGTAGAAGCACCATTTTCTAACAACAGACTGACAACATCTAATTTACCAGCCAAACTTGCAAACATTAATGTAGAATATCCAGAATTATGATAATTAGCATTGACATCCGCACCTCGATCGAGCAGTAATTGACACATTTCGTAATTTCCGCGAAACGCTGCATGTTGCAACGGCGTCATTCCTTGTTCATCTAAACAATCTATCTTTATATCTTGATCGTTTAATAATTGCTTTATTTCTTCCACTGAATTAGCTTCAATTAGCGTGTAGATTCTCTTCTCTTTTTCGTTTAATTGCGTTTTAGAAGACATTTCTTTGCGTTTTATTCATACAGTGAAAATGGAAGAACATTAACGTCCGAAACGTTTGACGCGTTGCCACAAAGCACATAATAAATATTTCAAAGTTAGTTTTTAACTTTAATACCAATTCAATCACTAAATTATTTATTCAAATGATTAAATAAATTCAAAATATATTTTAAAATCGGACTAAATGTATAAATTAATTTGTTATAACCATATAAAATTGACGGGCGGGTGGTTGAGCGTTAAAAAAAAAGCCTTAGTGAATTGAATAAATTCTAAACGATGCTGTCAAAATAAGAAATTAATAATTTTAAAAAGTATTTTTAAATATATGATTTTGATAATATGAGTAATAATACAGAAATCCCTCTCTCACGGATGGCAGAGAAAATTTTTTCCAGGAATTTTTCCGGGGTAGTCTGTCCGTATATGTCGGGCCCCGTCCCTCACCATCCGGACGCCCCATTGTGGGCCTGGCCGATCCCATAATGGGCTTGCTAAAAAGAGTTCCTCTTCGTGCTCCTCAGGGAGGAAAGAGTTTAAAAAATCCCTCTCTCGCGTAATATGAAACAAAAATAAAACATTATGCTAAACTGTCGAAAAATCCATTTTAGAAAAATCATCCTTTTTCTTCCTATTTTCTCCTTGTCACATTTTGTTACCAAGTTTTGGACACCGCCAAATGTCCCAATGTCACACTTGATCTGCCACCCTGATATTAAAATCAAGAATTGCTATAAAACATCTATAGTAGATTAATTTACTCACATTTCCTTGCCAAGGCAAGACTAATTTTAAAAATGTGCCAAAAAATGAAATTCATTGATTTACCGCAGACATGTCTGATGACGTTTTACGAAGTAATTCCTAGACAAGTTTATGTTATATATCAGTATATATTTCAGCGTTATCTTTTTCTATAAACTGTATCTGTAAAGGTTAAATTGCTGTCATTATCCTTTCATATTAAAAGTTCTACTAGTAAGCTTCCAACTGAGCATACTGTTTTTAGTACAGCACTTCAACTAAAGTGCAAATAAGCAAGAACTGTATGATCATTGATCAAAATGTTCTGCATAATGATTTTGAAAAACGACCGGATGGACGAGCAGTTAGGGTGGAGACCTACCGGTCTGAGGGACCCGCGATTAATGAGATCCGGACGGGTCGAACAAACTAGGAATTTTTCGGGGAGTGGCCCGTCCGGGTATATGGAGCCCCGTTTTTCATCACCCTTGCTCTCATAGTGGGCTTGGCCAACCCTATAATAGGCTTGCTAAAAAAAAGCCTTCTTACTGCCCACATCCGGATAATTTAAGTGTCCACAGGCATAGAGTGAGAAGTGTTAAAAAAAGACTAATACAGTATTATATTCTGTTCAGTGTAATGAATTTTAATGCTGACATTTTTATAACATTCAAATATCTTTATTTTTCTGTTGATATTATCGTTTATTAAAATTTTAAAAAAATTCTTAAAATATTGAAATGGCAACACTTATTGTAGGAGGTGCGATGCAAATCATATCAGTATGGGATAGAAGTGGTGTTTGTATTTTGATTTAAAACAATTTTTCTTTTTCCAAAGCTAAACGTTATGCTCATTTCCAGATAAAGTAATTATGGAACCATTTAACCAAATAGCAGAAGGTAAAACAAATGTAATTTTTGAATATTTTTTTAATTACATTTTTGATTTTCGAGAAAGGAAACACGCTTGATAATGATCAAGCGTGTTTCCTTCTCAAATTGCATAGTCAAGTCTGATAGTTAACGTCGATTATCTATAGAATATTCTGATCTTAAGTGAGGTCTGATTTCGTAAGCATTGGTGCAAGTGTACGGTAAAAGTTTATCCTTACTTCATGGGCTCTTTTTTTCTAATTTTGCTCTCTTTGGACATTTCTCTGTTTGAAGTGTAATGATTTTGTTTGATCGTTACTTGATGACAGAGCATGAGTAGGATGTTATGATACTAATCATGAATAGTTATGAAAGAAGAAATTAATTTTTTATGCCAGATTCTTATCATATAAAAGTTTAAAAGCACTGTCTATTAATGTTAATAAGGTTTGGTAGAAGTGCATCTAGGTAGCCCCAATGGCGGTACTTCCAAGACTGTGGCATTTAATTAGTGGGTGATCGGTTAATGAACAAATCGGATAACAAACACTTTCGCGAAAGATTTTTATGTTCGGACAATGAACACCTCACAGAACAAACACAAGAAGAAGTGAGGTAAAACAATTGGTCTTCCCTTGTCTTCAGGCAACAATTGGAAACTTTTCAGAGCATGAGAGACGTTGATATCAATGCTCAACCTGATATATACTGATCGGATAGTATTCCTCTAAACTTTGAAATTCTCCCTTGTAATTCCAGTCTTTTATTTTTCTGACAGAAACGATTCTTTTATAGTATTAGTGAGACTGTTGGACAAACACGCATCAAGTTTTGCATCGGTTTTTATTTTCAAAAGGTGAGAGTATAATAGCAAAGGTAGAGGAGAGTGGACAGAAGATGTCTGTTGTTGCTGGGCAGTATGGCTTGAACAGGTCTACAGTAGGCTGCAGTTCAATCTTATCTAAGAAAGATACTGTATAATGAAGAAGACTCAAGCAGCTAAAGGAGTAACAAAAATCACATCTGAGAAATAANAATTCAGATATATCTAGATGAACTTGAGAGTAATGATGAAGTATGCATGTTCCAAACTAATCTTAAAATTGATAACCATATAAATCTTTTGGAAACTTTAACTTCACATAATTTACTAAATCGATGGTATGCTCATTGGTAAGTCTATTAATTAAAATTAATTTACTTTAAACTTTTTCATTTTCTTCATCTAACTTTTGTTTTTCTATTTCCTCTTTTTAATCAATAGAACAAATTCATAAATGCAGGTAACCTATTGGTGTTCCAATTAAGACTATCAAATGGTAAACTCAAGTTTATCTTATAACCAAGTCTGTTTTAATCAGGAGACACAGTTCAGTTGGCAAAAGAAATTTTATTCGCTATGCATTTCCTCTTCAGGATATATAAATATATCTGAAATTTGCAATCTTAAATTGACAAAGTAATAAATACAATAGAAAATTAAAGAACCAACCAGGAACACTCCATTTTTTTTACATATACACTTCTCATTAAAGATGGTAGCTATCATGAGTTCTTTGGTGGTCCTTATCATATTGTGCCTGAAATCAGGCAAAATAATTTGGGCTTGCTTCTATTTTGTCTGTGTTTCTATTCATAATTAACTCTTTGGCCAACATGGTATTTACCTCCCTTTCTGTATATCTTCTTGGTGCTCTTTTAACTATTCTTTGAGAGGATGGCATGTGTTTCCAAAATATAGCCTCATCTGCTGTGTGCACATTCTCAACCAGTACTCTATATACCCTGCTCTTTTGGATGTCTTTTAAAGACTCCTTATAATTCTTAATTTTTTCGTTCTCCAAGCTCATCGCTAGATGTTGTACAACAACCACAACAATCTTTTCTTAGTGATGATCGACCTGTTGATCAGTCTGTTGTATTCCAACTATATAATGCCAGCTTCCATGGTTTGAAGATGTGGCTTCAGTATTTTTGCTACATCAGACTCTGTCACTAATACTCTAACTGCCTCCTTGGGTTTTACTTTTGTTTTTAATAAATGATGTCTCCTCTGTGTAAGGTTCACAAAACTACTGTGTCTTGTCAGCACACAAATGGTTTTGTGCTAAGCTCTTGATAGTACTGATTTCCTCTTCATATGCTTCAGACAAAGAAGCATATGAAGAGGATATGTGGATCATTTTCTTTTCAATTAAACATTTAATCAAAAAGAAAATATAGAAAGGACTCCTTAAAAATCTACAGCAAGGTAATTAATTTTTAATATAATAATATTTTTAATATTACAACGTTAACCATAATAATAATTTATAATGATTATGAGTTAATAATTTTTCATTAATTAATTACTGTATTTTATGGCATATAAGACAGACTTGTTCAAAAAGAGTCTCAAAAAATTGTCTTGCATCTAAGTATGATGTATTTGTCATTCATGTAGTTATTGACAAAAAGATAGTTTTGCCTTGCATCTTATATGTGAAGTCATATAGACTAAATGAATTCCCAAAGTGACCTTCAGTAGACTATAGGTAACTTCTACTTAACCCAAGTCTTGAATAAAAATTTTATTGTTTAATTAAACATATTATTATTATTATTTGTTTTTTTTGTTAGAACTAAGCTGCTTTTTGAATGTATTTAGAATATTTGAATGATAAATTACTTCTTTTAAACTCATGTTTTTCTCTGATAAATAAAAGTATGCATTCTAATTTTCCATTTTTTTAATGAAAATACAATTAAAAAAGTGCCAAAAGTCCAGGTTGACCTAAATACATTAAATACTTTCCTAAATATTTTGTGCTGAAATGAGGGTGTCTTAGACAAATGATCATCATAATGAATCAGGCTACTTTATTGCTACTAATAAATTCTAAGTAATTTGGTACTAGAGGCAGGTATTATGTACCATCTCATATTAAATTTAATAATTATAATTAAATTAATATTTATTAAATAATTTAGAATATTCTGGAAAAAAAATATTGTTTAATAAATATTAATTTAATTATAATTATTAAATTTAATAGGAGATGCCACCTGGCACCTACTTCTAGTGCCAAATTACTTGGAATTTGATAAATGTTAGCAGCAGTAGTGTGGCCCAATTTGATTTCATAGTTGTTTGGCTTCATTCAATATTGTTACTAGCTAATGTAATACCATCAATTAAATTATTGCATTGTGAACTAATAATTTTTTAAAAATTTGAAGCACTGGTTAAGACCAATAACTTATAATATGTTATCAGTCATATGTTGAGGCTACTAGCATGAAAAGAAAGCAATAAAAAAAAGCCTATTTACCTGATGATGATAAAATTTTGATTAAAATAAGTGCATTTTTTGTAATGTATTATAACTTGTGTTTTGAGACCTTTTAATTTTGATAACATTAATCAATTTATAACATTATCTAATGATTACAATAAGCAGAATCTATTGTAATCATATTGAATGGCTTAAAGCAGCGTTTCTCAAAGTGGGCGATAACGCCCCC